AATGAGATATCATCTTCCCCCAACAAGGTTAGCATTAATCCAAAAAACACAAAATAATAAATGCTGGAGAGGTTATGGAGAGACTGGGACACTTATACACTGTTGGTGGGAATGTAAAATGGTACAACCACTTTGGAAATCGATTTGGCGCTTCCTTAAAAAGCTAGAAATAGAAGTACCATACGATCCAGCTATCCCGCTCCTTGGAATATATCCTAGAGAAATAAAAGCTGTCACATGAATAGATATATGCACACCCATGTTCACTACAGCACTGTTCACAATAGCAAAAAGATGGAAACAATCTAGGTGCCCATCAACGGATGAATGGATAAACAAATTATGGTATATTCACACAACGGAATACTACGCAACGATAAAGAACAACAATGAAGCTGTGAAACATATAACACGGTGGAAGCTGGAACTTATTATGCTGAGTGAATTTAGCCAGTCACAGAAGGACAAATACTGTACAAGACCACTATTATAAGAACTCAATAAAAGGTTTAAACACAGAAGAAAACATTCTTTGATGGTTATGGGGGTGGGGAGGGAGGGCGAGGGTTATTCACTAACTAGATAGTAGATGAGAATCATCTTAGGTGAAGGGAAGGCCAGCACACACTACAGGTGAAGTCAGCACAACTGGACTAAACCAAAGCTACGAAGTTTCCTGAATACAATCAAATACTTTGAGAGACAGAGTAGCAGAGGCAGGGGTCTGGGGACCATGCTTTCAAGGGACATCTAGGTCAACTGGCATAACAAAGCTTATTAAGAAAATGTTCTGCATCCTACTTTGGTGAGTGGCGTCTGGGGTCTTAAAAGCTTGCAAGTGGCCATCTAAGATGCATCAGTTGGTCCCAACCACTTGGAGTAAAGGAGAATGAAGAACACCAAAGACACAAGGAAAGTATTAGCCCTAGAGTCAGAAAGGGCCACATAAACTAGAGACTTCATCAGCCTGAGACCAGAAGAACTAGATGGTGCCTGGCTACCACCAATGACCGCCCTGACAGGGAACACAACAGGAGAGTCCCTGATGGAGCAGCAGAAAGATGGGGTGCAGAACTCAAATTCTAGTAAGAAGACCAGACTTAATGGTATGACTGAGACTGGAGGTACCCCAGAAAGCATGGCCCCTGGACTCTCTATCAGCCCAGAACTAAAGCAATTTCCGAGGCTAACTCTTCAGACAGGGATTGGACTGGACTGTGGGACATAAAGTGATGCTAGGGAGGAGTGTGCCTCTTAGCTCAAGTAGATACAAGAGACTAAATGGGCAGCTTCTGTCTGGAGGTGAGATGGGAAGGCAGAAAGGTTAGGAGCTGGTTGAATGGACATGGGGAATCAGGGGTGGAAAGGAAGAGCATGCTGTCACAATATGGGGAGAGCAATTAGGGTCACATAACAATGTATGTATAAATTTTTGTATGGGAGACTAACTTGAAATGTAAACTTCATTTAAACTACAACAATTTTTTAAAAAATGTTAGAGACAACAACAAAAAGAACATACAAGGCAGAGAGAACACAATGCAAAGGCTCTGAGGCAGGGCATGCCTGGAGTGGGAAGGTGGAAGAGGGGAAATGAAGAAAGCAGGAGGGCCAGACCACAGAGAACCTCATGGCCATAGTGAGGGATACCCCTGACATCCTCCTGTTAGGACCCAATAACACAAGAAGCGGAATGAAACACATACCACAGACATGAGGTAATACTACCACCAAAGTAGAGAGATGAACCTCAGCATACCAGCTCCAGGCAAAATCCCCCCACAGTGCCCCAATTCAAAGCACTGATTCCAAGACAGAAATTCCCCCACTGTACCAGACATTCTCGAAGGCTCCCTCCTGCAATCTGCAGTTCATTCTAGGACCTGGGTAGGAACGTGCAGAGAGTACTTTCTGGTTAAAAAGGCACTGGACTGATAATGAAGTCTGGGATCAAACCCCAGCTCAGATGTCTTCTCTAGGACAGGCACTTCCCCTCCCTAAGATTCCAGTTTCCCATCTGTAAAATGAACAGTTGGGTTAAATCAGCCCTAATATCCTAGGACTGAATCTCTCTCTGGAAAACAACTAGGACAGAAAGGGATAGACAGAACGGCTCTCGGTCTCACCCCTTTGCCTCACGCAGCTGTTCCCTCAACACAGTCTTCAAATCTCCTGCTGTGCCCCCAAAAAGACTCACCTGAGGCTCATTATTCAGCTTTCTCAGGATCAAAATGTCACAGTCCCCAAGTCTCCAAGGGGTAAAGACCTGGGGCAGGAGGAAGACTATAGACGCAAGAGAAATCTAGCCCAAGAAAGGACCTTCACAAAGGCAGAAGACCCCTCCCGAACCATGAACCAGCTGGGAGAAGCCAGGGCAATTCTGGGACTCTCAGCTGAGCCTCCTGGCTACCATGTGGCCTGGTCTTGAATCTGAATTCTAGAGAAGCAGATAATGACAAGTGCTGACAAGGATGTGGAGAAATGAGAACCCTCATACACTACTGTTAGGAATGAGAAAGAGGTAGGAATGGGCCCTGACCATTTGAGGTCTACTACCTCTGGAGGAGGGGTAGGAAAGACTCTCCTCCACAAGATCTGCCAAAGGTACAGGGCAGAGTGTGACTGCCATGGGAAGGAGGGACAGGATCCCTGAGAAGACCCTACCCAGAGACCCTGCCTAAGATTGAGGCTGGACCAGGATCATAAAGAACACCCCCTTCCTCTAGTCTCCCACTACCAGGCTAGCCAGCACTGAGTAACAAGCGTCAGCAATCTGCTGCTGGGGGAAGATGACCACAGAGAGAGACCACCTATGTCCTGCAGACATACAAGGAAAGCCAAACGCAACAGCTGAAGTTGGAACTAGCACACTGAGAAAAAACTTACAGAGCTCCAACCTCCAATCTAAGCACAAGAAACAGCTAAAGGAATTTGAAACTGGTGACACACTGAAGGGAACCAGAGCAACAACAAAATCCAAACCTAGGTCAACTTCTGACTAAACTGACTTTACCTCTCATACTGACAGCCTAGCAAAAGAAGAGGCATGCCATTTCCAGGCATAATTACTATTTACCTGTCTTTACTGGAGCCCTGGTGGCGCAGTGGTTAAGAGCTCGGCTGCTAATCAAAAGGTCAGCAGTTCGAATACACCAGCTGCTCCTTGGAAATCCTATGGTGCAGTTCTACTCTGTCCCGTAGGGTCCCTATGAGTCAGAATGGACTCGACAGCAATGGTTTTTTTTTTTTTTTTGGTTGTTTTTACTAGTCTACTTACAATGTCCAACACTCAATCAAAAATGATACATCAAAAGCAAGCAAAGAAAAACAGCCCACTGTCAAAATACAAAGCAATCAGCAGAACCAGATTCAGACAACCCTGATGTTATATCTATCAGAGAATTTAAAAAAACTGATTAGCATGTTAGAAGGCCCTAGTGAAAAAAATAGACAATATGCATGAACAGATGAGGAATTTTCTCTGAAGGATAGAAACTGTAAGAGTCAAATGGAAATGCTAGAAATAACACAGTAACAGGGATGAAGAACGTCTTTGACAGGTCATGGAAATAATCAATTCACTTGAAGATGGGTAAATAGAAATTACCCAAACTGAAACAAAAAGAGAAAGAAAACCAAAAAACAAAACAAAAGAGCATCCAAGAACTGTGGGACAATCTCAAAGAGTGGCTGAGAATGGGACTGGAATCTCAGAAGGAGGAGAGGGGAAAGAGAGAGAGAATGGGAAAGAAGAAATATTGGAAGTGATAATAGCTAAGAATTTTCTGAAAATACAGAAAGACATCAAAAACAGGTCCAAGGAGCAGAGAACCACAAATAGGATAAAGAGGAAAAATAATTCCTAGATACAGCATACTCAAACTGCTAAAAAACAAAAGTAAAAAGAACATCTTTGAAGGCAGCCAAAGGAAAGCAGTGCTCAAGGAAACAGCTAAAAGAATCCTCGGTAAAAAATGTTGCTGTTGTTTTGTGCCATTGAGTCAATTCCGACTCACAGTAACCCTACAGGCAGAATGCATCTACAGTAAAATGCACAGTGAAAGGTATACACTAAAATGACTAAAGTGGGGACTTCCAGTAAGGGAGTGGGACAATGGTGACTGGATAAGCACATTACATGGAACTCCGGCCTTATTTATAATCTTTTAATTATTTACAGGGGCAATTTATTTACATAGTACTTGTGGTGGCACAGTGGTTAAGAGCTCAGACTGCTAACCAAAATGTTGGCAGTTCGAATCCACCAGCTGCTCCCTGGAAATCCTACGAGGCAGTTCTATTATGTCTGCTGTGAGTTGGAATCGACTTGACGGCATCAGGTTTGGTTTTTGTATGTGTGTGTGTGACTAACAACTGATTTTTTTTAAAGAAAAGGAAAGGAAAAAAAAAACTTACTCTGGGGTAGAGGAATCCAGAAGGAAACAGGTAAGAACCACCTCCAAAGGAGTATAGTTATAATAATAAATGTTACCAATTATTGAACACAAACCATGTAGAGCATTCTTTCAAGTGGTCTTCACAACAATCCTATGAGGTAAGTGCTACTATTATCCCCCTTTTACAGATAAAGAAACTGAGGCTCACAGAGGTAAAGTAATTCACATCCATTCCTTCATTCAGAAAATATTTTTTGACTGCTTACTATGTGCCAGCTTCTATGCTGAGTTTTGAGTATAAGTTGGTGGGTAAGTGTCACCACTAGTGGCAATACCAGAATGATGATTAAATCAACTTTGAGCCCATGCTTTAAGGACCACACACTCCACTATCTGCTGGTAGGACAGAGAATACTTCTTTGGACCCAACGTAATCCACAGGACACTACACTGCCTGTAGAAGATGCTACTGACTCAGAAGTGGGCCCACTCTTGGGAGGGACATCCACATGTGGCTCACATGAAGCCAGAAACACCCAAAGTACACTCACCACCCACCTCCCTCCCAACCCCACTGCTTCAGACTGGAGACACAGTTCTTACTTGAGGTTGTCAGGAGTTTTGGATGGCAATACTGACAGCACCAGAGAGGACTTCTCAATGGCCGAACAGGAGGCCACCAGATTCAGCTGGGGGATGAACTTGACCTGTTGGCACCAGTTGGGATGAACAGCCTGGGAAAGAGAGAGGCAATGGTGGGAGACTCAACCCAAGGATAGCATTCTGGGCCCAGACACCAGAACGTGGGTAGGTGTTAGGGACTGGAGGGGGCCAGAGATCACCAAGTCTAATGCTCTTCTCTTAGTGATCACAGCTCTGACAAAGTGCTATTGCCCCACAGTCCTAATCCAGGTCCTGCGACCAGGGGTGTGTGACTATCACTTGTCAACAAAAAAACTTAAAAGCACTCAAGCCTACTGGTATTTGATTTCTTGTTTTATAAGTTAGAAGATAGGCAAGGTCAGGACCATACTAATATTGTTCTCTGTCACCTGTATTCCAAGAGGGGAGAAAGGATGGATTCAAGTCTGCAGGAACCCCCGCTACAGATAAGCCTGTGCTTCCCAGCCCACTGCTGCCCTCCATGTTTGTCAGAACATGGTCGGCTCCAGGGAGCATGTAGTGCATGAGAACATTATTGGCTGCAACCTGGACAGCAAAAGGACAAGACACACAAGTCAAGGGACTGGCCTGGCCTGACGGGCTCTGAATTCACTAGCAGCAGCTATGATCTGAGCTAGTGCTTGGCCTCCCAAATGGGAGATTTTCCTCTCTGGGACAAGAATGGAGGAGAGAGGGTGAGAGGGTAAGCTGGACAGGTCACCAAACATTTTTCAGCCCATTCTACCGGCAAGATCCTGAGCCAGGTTTCACATACATTACTTCACCAAGCACCTGGCACAGTCTGTCCACAAAGGCATCTACCCGAGGCACTGAACTAAACCCAGGACACTTAGCACCTCAGAGGGAAAACCAAGCCCAAGGTGAGATTCACACAGAAGATGGAAAGAAGATGTGCTAGTTTGTGACTATGAGGGTCACAGGGCCTGAATTACCTGACCTGCTCAAAAAGAAGCATTTAGGAGCCTTGGGCCACCCAATTCAGGCAGCAAGGACCTGAGGAAGTAGAGTAGGGCATACAGGTACCTGAAGCAACAGCATGTGCCAAGACCCTGAGGTGGGAAAAGGCTTAGTGTGTTCGGCAAATAGTGAGGGAGCTGCATATCTGGAGCAGAGTAAACAGGAGAAGAAAGACAGAAAACAACAACAAGAGCAAACCAGGGGCCAGGTCACCTGGTATCCTGATGGTCATGGTAAGGACCTGAGGTTTTGTTCCAAATGTCATAAGAAGCTACAGGTGGATTTTGAGCAAGGGAGTGACATGACTGTATTTCTATTTCAGAATTCCTCTGGCTGCTGAATGGATAAAGCACTGCATGTAGAAAGGAAGTGGCAACCCACTAGAAGGCACTGCAGTGGTCCAGGAAGGAAGTGATGTTGCCAGGACCAGGGCTTAGCAAGAAAGGGAGTGAGAGAAGGGGCCACACCTGGGATGCATGTGTATTATGCAGATAGAGCTAATGGGGTCCAACAGCTACCTCAATCCCCTTCCCAGAGACCAAGCCCCAGGCCTAAGATTGAATGCAGGGGGGAAATCTACTTTTTGCATCATTTATTTTTGGGTGGGGCGTGTATACAGATAATTACCATGATAACAGCTCAATGAAAGGTAACACTTACCTTGAGTCGGTAACTTTTATGTGAAGTGGACTTCTCATTTAAGAGCTTCTGCATGGAAACTGTAATCCAGTTATCTGTTCGGGGGAAAACCGAGGTCTGGCTCACTAGCTCTTCCTCTCTGCCAGAAAAGCAAAATCTCACAAGTCACCTTGAGATGGTTTTGAACTCCTGTTTCTCAGAAGGCTTTTCCATCCTAACTCTCATTCTATCTCACTGTGTCCTGGTGATTTCAGTGGGTGCCTTCCCTTCTCCTGGAAACAGAGCCAGGCAGACTAACACTCTGCTCTGAGTCCCCTCTGACAGCTCGTGGAGGAGCTGGTACCAGAATTCAGGACTCTTCACTCTCCCTAACTACTGCAATCTTAAATTGATTCTCCATTGCAAGATGCCACCTTTGCTGGAGTGAATGAATTGAGATCCTAGGCTCTCTTCATTCTGAAGAGAAATCATTTGGGAGTTTGTCATCATGCCCCCAACTACAAGGGCTCCTTGTCCAGAAAACACAAGTTCTGAGAAGTAGAAATTGCTCACATGATCATAATGCAAGTATGCTTGGAGCAACTATGTGCCAGCACAGCACTAAGCACAGCCCTGCCCTGGTGGGGCTTAGAGTCTCTTGGCCACTGAAACTACCCAAGACCGGTGGCTGATGAATCTCCAGGGACAGCACTGTATGGCCGCTGGTATGAGCTAAATGCCTGGACACCAAGGCGTGGAGCCAACAGCGCCAGAGGACAAGCATAGGACCACCCTCAGAGCAGAGTTTAAGGAGGTAGGTCAGAAACGCCAGAACAGTCTGACAGGGGAACATGGAGAAAAGAGGAGCGGGGGAACCTGGAGGCTCATGACAAGTATTTTACTGCTGCACAGTCACCAGCTCCATCTTGCAAGGGCAGGAAGAAGCTTGAAAAGAAGTGTCAAGGGGGTGGGATGTCCCTCAAGGTTGCAAAAGCTGGGCAGGCCATGCATGAGCACAGGAGGAAGTTTTATTACAAGCTGTTTACCTGTCTGTCTCTCCCACAGGGCTGAGGTCCCAGGGAGGGTATGGATGACAGTCACTGAGCACTTACTAGATGTCTAACACTATGCTCTCTTATTCCACACTTACAGCAAAGCCCATGAACTAGGTATGATCACCCCTATTTGACTGATAAGCAAACTGAGGCACAGAGAGTTTAAGCAACTCGCTCCAGGTCACACAGAGCTGGGGTGCATAGCTGGGTCTGTCCATCTCCTCCCAATTCAACATGCTGGAACCACCTTGTCTTCAGTCTGTTCCCCTCAGCCCAGGCCTCAATCAGCAGGTGGTACCGAAGGACCCTGACCCTGCCCAACACTCCAGCTTCATCAGCCTCCCTCAACATCCCATCCCTCACTCAGCTCAAAGACCACCACAACCTCCCATCCTAATTCCCCAGGGTGACACGGAGTGAGTGACCAGGGCCAGGCAGTTGAGTGGGTTGGGCCAGGGCAAGGCAGCCACGAGGGGCAGAGGCTGATGAGGAAGGCCGAACCAGGATGCCAGCTACTGCTGTGTCCAGGGTGGGATTCATTTTCTGCTCTGCCAATGGGGGATGCTGCCCCAACAAGCTGGCAGAAGGGTGTCACCACCACCTGGGAACCCCTGAAGGGTGTCCTGCTCAGAAACCCTGGCTGGAAGTGCAACAGGCAGCTCTAGTGTCCCAGATAGAGGGAAGTTCAGTGTCCCTGCAGGTCCTCTGCTGGCCTGGGTCTCCTCTAGATGGACATGGAGGGGCCTGAAGTCCCAACACTGTGCACATACACCCAGGGCTCAGTCAGGGCAGGAGCCAGTCCAGATAAGTCACCCAGACAGTCCTGGGGATCTAGTGCCCCTTGGCAGAGCAGTTCCAAGCATATTCCTTCAGCATTTAATCAACATGGGATGGAGCCCAGCACATGGTTAAAGGGGAAGCCTCAGAGGCAGACTGTGGGGCCTGGGCAAGTGACTTCTCCAAACCTCAGTTCCTCCTGTAACTGGCTGTGGTAAAAGCACCAGCCCCTGGCAGTGGGTGGAGGTTCCCAGGAGATGAGGTGCCCAAAGTGCTCAGCACACAGCACTTGGCACCTATTCCCATTCATGTCAAGCCAGGCTTTCCTCCAGGCCCCATCAAGCCACCTTCAGTGCAACCTCCACCTCACCCCACCCCAAGACAGCTCAAGAGCCAAGGAGAGCAGAAGCCTTCTCACAACCTTCAGAGGAACCAGCACCATCCTGAGCCTCAGGGGGTAAGTGACTTCCCAGGGCCCACTCTTCTGGGACGAGGAGGGTCCTGAAGCCCCCACCCTCACTTCACAACCTGCCACCTTCTTCCATCACCCCACCTCCCACCCCCTCCCACACGCCAGTTCTGAGCTAGGTTTAACTTCTCAAGGATCCTAGCTTCCCAGAGGCTGGAGAGCAGGGAGGCCCAGAGTGAGGAGACAGCCTTCGGGACCACAGGATCTCAACACCCCCTTCCAGCCCACTCCCCAGGCCTCCACCTGACTTCTGGGACTCTTAGCTACCCCATTTGGAGGCCCTGGGGAGGATGCGGGGGTTGAATAGCCCATTCGCCATGTTGTCAGAGGTGAAAACGAAGACGTTGCCTTTGGTATCCCCATAGCAGAACACGCCTCTGTCATAGTCAGACCTGGGGAAAGATGGAGACAACAGATGCTAGGTCCCAGCTGGGGGCACCCACCTGCTGTCCTCTACCCCCTCCCCAAGCCTCCTCCACCTTCAAGCAAGGGCAGTTCCAATAAGACTTTCCAGCCTTGCCCTCAGCATCTGCTGAGCTGACAAACATGGGCTCAGCAGCCCAGATCCAGACTACCGTTGGACCAGGTCCAGAAGAAATCAGCACTTTCTTAAACTAAAATAAATGAGTCCCTGGTCTTCCAGCTGCGCTTTGTCAAGCTCCCCTCCCACCCCTCCCAATCAATGGACCATGACTTCTAGGGGCCCCAGAGTCCCCAGCCACAGTGGAACAAGCCTCTCCCAGGGTTTCCTGGCTGACTTAGTTGGGAGGGGAGGGGAGAGGAAGAGGGCTCAGTGGCAATGACTCCATGGTCTGAGTGACCACAAAAGGTGGCCTGCGAGAGCAGCAGGCTTGTGAAGAAAAAGAACACCAGCACTCACCAGCACTCCCAAGGGGCCTCAGATCCACGGGCCGGGGCTGTTTCCAGGGCCATTTCTAGAGAGGCTTTCTGGGGGGCCCAATCTCACCACGTGATGAGGTCGTGGCCAAGACCCTGCACCGATCTCCCAGGAGACTCACCAGTAGTTCATGACCAGAACACAACTGTCCAGTTCGATGAAGGTGAAGGCCCGGTCACATTTGTTGTTACTGATATCAAAGAACTCTGGGGAAGAGACAGAAGGGCCTCGGGTGTCTCTGGATGACAGTGGGCAGCCCTGTCAGTCCTTTCCCCACCACAGCCAGAGGAAGCCTTTCCCAAAGTAAACCTACCAGTCAGCACCCTACTAAAAACTCTCCAGTGGCTTCCCATTGTAGAGAGAATCAAATCCAGCTCCCAACCACAGCCTGCAGGGGCTGCCGTGATCCGGCCCCCCGTGGACCTCTGCAATCCCATCTCCGGCCACTATTCTCCCATCCCCACCCTTCCCCCGTCACCCTCTACCCTGGCTCCCCAGGCTCCAGCCACATTGGCTTTTCAGTTTCTCAAACACATCAAGCTCGTCCCACTTCAGGGTTTTTTCCACTCCACCTAGAACACTCAGGGTTCCCTTCACATAGAATACTCGTGGCACTTCCCAGACCGAGACCTCCAGGACTCGGCTCAAATGTCACCTCCCTCCCCCCTAAACCAGGGCCCTGTTGCCCTTCTCTCTAGGCTCCTTGTTGGATTCCTCCATGGCACATATCTCAGCCTCTAATTATTTTTTGTTGTGTTTGGATATTTAGGGTCTGTCTCTCCTTCTAGAACATAGATGCCATGGGGGCAGGGACATGTCTGTACAATTCCCTGTGGTATCCTTGGGGCCTAGCACAGCACCTGGGGCTCCTCGGAGACGAGCTGAATGAGGGTGGGGATAACAAGCAAAGGAGTGAGCAAATGCTGAGAGCCGGGCACTACTGGTACCTGACAGCCTCTGTCCCCTCCGTCCTCGGCCTAGTTCTTTCTCGCTCTCTGTGCCTCCCTATAGATGCTGGGAGCAGATGGAAGCAGAGAAGCTGCATCAGAGCTCAGGCTGATTCCTAACCAGTGCCTGCTCATCAGGCCCCAGTCCCATCATCCTCACTGCAAAAAACCCCAGGCAAATCTGAGACAAGGGAATCTGATTACACAGATGCATTGTGAGGGACGGATTATAGAAACTACCTCTTGCAGGATCACCCCTTTCCTCCACCATCCTGCACCAGCCCTGCCAGATTACTCTTTCACGAACATTCTCTTCATCCTAGTCAAAAGCCTTCAATGATGCCCTTCTACCCACTGCTTCAAATATAAACTCAAGAATCTGGCTCCTTCCAGCAGCCTCACTTCCAACTTCTGTCTCATGAGCAACACCCTCACGGCCTACGCTGCCTCTGGAGAAGGGCTGTGGGTTGCAGAAGGAAGGATGCTGAGCCACAGCCAGAGGACGAGGACCACGTGGCGCCACTTCCAACCCTGACTGTAGCCTCCACCGAGTGCCTCCAAGCAAAAGGCAGATGCTCAGCTGGGACAGCCATGATGCTATGGTAGTCTGTAAAACGGGTTATAACACCAACTCTCGGGGTGTCTGCAGATGACGGGAGAGAACAGCCAGGACAGCACCTGGTCCTTAGGAAATGGGTGTTACAACTAACACCCCAACTGGGTCACAAACACCTCCCCACCTGCTCTACCCCTGGCTGGTGACTGGCCATTGTCTCTGTCTGTATCACACAATTTATCCTCTAATGATGTTAATTATTGATTGGGCTCCTACTATGTCCCAGGCACCACGCCAGGAGCTTCACATACCCAACCACTAAGCCACACTCAACCTGGAGACATATATTATTGGCTCCATTTTACATCTGGGCAAACTGAGGCATAGGGAGGCAAAGTAATTGCCCGAAGTCACAAATCTACCGAGTGGTGGGGCCAGGGTCTGCGCCCAGGCCCATCTGATTCCAAAGTCCCTGCTCATTCCAGAACAGCCCATGTTCTCTCCTCCCATTTAGTCTTGCATCACTGGCTGCAGCTTCATATATTAGTTTCGTTTCCCTGACCACCTTGTAAGTTTGTTCGGTCAGAAGCATCATTCATTCACTCATTCATCCTTCCATTCAACAGTCATTGGGCCTCTAGGACGAGCCAGGCACTGAGATACAGAATGAAGCCAAACAGGCGCAGTCTCTACCCTCATGGAGCTTACAGTCTAGAAGAGGAGACAGATATTAAACAAAGAATCACACTAATAAATGTATGATCACATTGATTAAAAAGGGTTTGAAGGAAAGATGGTCAATCTCATGAGGGCCTTCTGAATAGAGGAACCTGACTTGGACTAGGCGGTCAGGGAGGGCTTCCTGGAGCAAGTGACAACTGGAGTGAGAGCCAAAGGAAAAGGAGAAGCTATGGGGGCAGAGAGGAGCCCTGGTGGCACAGTGGTTAAGTGCTACAGCTGCTAACTGAAACGCTGGCAGTCTGAATTCACCACCCGCTCCTTGGAAACCCTATGGGGCAGTTCTACTCTATGGGTAGGGATTTACTCGATGGCAGTGGGTTTGGTTTTTTTTTTTTTTTTTTTAATGCGGGCAGGGAGTGATTTGGAAGGGATGGCAGAGCACACAGACACAGGCCACACTGCCCATCAGAGGAGGCAAGAGAAGGCCACAGTGTCCTCACAAGAGAGGGAGAGGGTGAGTGGAGAAGGAGGCTGCCGGGGCAACAGGAGCCAGACCTTTAGGGACCTCGTACACCATGTTACGGATCTGATCTCCATTCTAGGAGCAGTGCAGGTGGGTGGAAGGCTTTCAGCACAGAGGCATTTTAAAAGCTCATCCTGGCTGCTCTGTGGGGCTAGTGTGGTGAGCAGTGGGGAGGCTGTTCCTGCTGTTGAGAGAGAGGTGTTGGTGGCCTGGACTAGGCATGGCAAGAGATAGGAGGTAGAATCAGGACTTGGAGAGAGGCTAGTGATGGCCTCTGGCTTATAAATCTGGAGCTGCTCAACAGTCCTGAGTCATTCCAGCATTCGCTGCGCGCCCTCTACCTACTCGCCATCAGGACACCAAGTGGGGCAGTTGGACAGTCAACAACATGAGTGACCAGGCCCTCCTGGCCCCTCTTGTGGCACCTGGCGCTCAGTTGGTCCTCATTAACCACCTGACTGCTAAGGCGTCACACCCAGTGACACCCCGAGAGAGCCCCAACCCATGCTTGTGGTTGGCTAGGCCAATGGAGCTCTCCCAAGGGCAAATGCGTGGTCCTGATGGCCAAGAGCAGACCCAGAGACTCACCTATCTTCTGGTCAGCAGACGCAATGGCAATCAGGTCCATGTTGTGGAGACACACCATGTCAATGACCCACATCTGCTGGTTGTAGGGTCTCTGGATCTGGTTAAGCTGGCCAGAGAAAAGCAGAGGAGACTGAGTGCTGAGGATGCTTGCCCAGGAGAGCACAGCCAGAGGCACAAGGTCCCCATGAACCTTCTCCTGCCCCACGAGGCCCTGGTGCCACGCACAGACCTGGTGTGGAGCCCAGAGCTACCAACACCAACTGGGCCTTGAATAAATTCCCTAACATCTCTGATTCTCAGTTTCCACATTAGTAAAATGGGCTTAAAGAACACCCATCCTCACAAGCCCTTTTTAGAGCAGTTTGACAAGATCTATCAAAATTTTAAATGTGCATATCTTTTGATACATGTATTCTATTTCTAAGATGTGTCTATGGATGTGTTTGCAGGTACTCATGGAACAATGTATGCCAGGGCAGCACGGTAGCCCTGCTGGGATAGCAGCAGGCCGGAGAGAGCCTGAGAGTCAGCAGGAGAGGACAGCTCAAACAAATCCACACCACATTAGGATGAGGAAGCTGTGTACATAACAACAGAGACTATTAAGTGAAAAAGCAAAGTGGAAAGCAGCACTATGTGCTGCCATTTGTATATTTAAAAAAAGAAAGGGGACAAAGATCATAAACGGTCACCAGGGGTGGGAGGGAGAGGGAATGGAAGAATTTTTGTTTGGAGGGCACTGAGTTCATGTTAATGGCAGCGGAATATTTTGGAAAAGGATAGCGATAATGGGGCACAACATGAAAAATGTAATCAATGTCATTTAATTGTGAATGTGGAAGTTGTTGTGCTGGCCTATGTTTTGCTGTGCATATTTTCACCAAAATTTAAAAAAAAAAGAGGAAGGATATATGTATACATACCCATGGAAGAATACCCCAAAACTGGTCCCAGTAGCTGCCTCTAGGGAGAGGAACTAGGGCCTAGGGGCTGGGAAGAGAGGCTGACTCTACTGCCTACCCCTCTGAATGTCTGAATCTCATTTACCATCTACAGACATCACCTAGTCAAAGTAGCTTATTAATGAGCAATCCTTCTACCAGGTTTCGAGGAATGAGTGGAATAAGGTAAGCGAAAGCAGCCGGTGTAGTGCCTGGCACTTGGCAGGGACTCAGGAAATACCAGTGCCCTTCCTCGCTCTGGTGCCAGTCTCGCACAACATCTATGAAGACAGAATCTGGGCTGGTGCTCTGGGAGGCGGACGCCACGAGCAAAGGCTCGTCAGGAGGAAGGAGCTGCTGTGCCCAGGGGACATAAGCCTTGGGGTTGGAAGACTGGAAGAAGAGTTAGGCATGGCCAGCTAGGGAATTTGTATTTTGCTCACTGAATAATGCCACAGGCTCTGAAATGGGGAAGGCAGAAAGGAGTATGATCTGAAGAAAAAAAAAAAAAATGGAAGAAATCGTTTTAAGGCATTTCCTCTGTACTCAGAAGAGATGACAGAGGCAGGAAGTGAACTGTTTCATCAGAATGCAGAGAGCACCAGGAGCTGAGAGGCCCGCCTAGGGCCCCAAGATGGCTCAGGCAGCAAAGACAATGGGCCAGGGACCCTGTGATGCCCTTTCTTGTACCCAACACTAGGGTCTAACCCACATACCCCATTATTCAGATGAGAAACCTGGAGCCCTAGGGTTTTCAGTGACTTGCCCAAGGTCACCCCAAACTTCAAGGCTTTTCACCTGCATGAGAGTGGGCAGGCAGTTGGTGATCATGGGTGATACTTGGGGGCTCATTCTTACCAAAATCTACTTGCCAAAGTAGCTCCTCAAGGAAGAATCCCCAGGTTAGCTTGGACCCTCCCTGGAACCTTCCTCTGCCCTCCTCCCTGTTCCTGACCTTTGGTCCCTGAGGGGCATGGTGACTATGTAGCAGCCAAAACCAGGAGGTCAGGCTGCAGTGCACCCCACCCCCACACGCACACAGAGAAAAGGAGGTGGGGTGGTGTCAGAAACTGCAAGCCTAAGGAACATGGTTGTGAATCCCACTTGGTCCTGGGCTACCAAGTGTACCCAGGGGAGTCACTGGACCTCCACCAGCCTCAGTTCCTTTCTAAGTGACCAGGGCAGGGGAGGGTACCATAAGATGCCTCCTCCACCAAGGAATGACACCTGATGCAATTATGGAAACCTCTGCAGTTCCACAAGGTTTATAAAACCCTTCATGCCGTTGGCAGCATTCTCAATAAGCTTTTCTTCTCTGGAGAGCTGAGCCTTCCTCACTTGCTGGAGGATTCTGGACTGGCCTGGCAACAACAAATGCACAACGGGTTTTCCTGAGTGTTTTATCACTTACTACATTTGGCCACGAGCCGGCAGCACAAAGACAATGATGATGTCAGTTTACGTTTATTGGGTACTTGCTGAGTGCCCTGCCCTACTCTAAGCACTAGACATGTATTATGTCACTAAATCCTCCCAAGAACACTGTGAGGGAGTCCTATTACTAACCCATTGGACGGATGAGAAAACTGAGGCACAAAGAACTATAGTAACTTGTCCAAGGTCACAGAGCTAGTATGTGGTGCCACGGGGATTCTGACCCTGGTAGTCGGGCTCTGAAGCCTATGTTCACAGCCACCATAATTCCCTGCCTGGTTCGGGCCAAGGATTTGAAAACCATTGTAGAAATAGAATCAGCAGAACTTGGTGATGGTTTGGATGTGACAAGGGAAGGGAAAGAGGCTTATTTCTAGCATGGAAACCTTGGTGGATGCTGATGCCATTCATTGAGATGGGGCAGAGGAGGAGAAGCCAGGTGGGGGGGGCAGAGTGGCATTCTGTTTGGACAAACTGGGTTTGAGCTGCCTGCAGGCCATCCAAGTGGCAGAAGAGAAACGTGAGGCACAAGGTCACACACAGTGAAGTCAGAGCCTGGATCCTGGCCCTGTGACGTCATGTCCAGGGCTGCTTAGACCATGAACTCTGACAATGCGCCTGCTCTGGGTCTGTGCCAACTTTGCAATCAGGCTCTTCAATGACCTGCATGTGCTCCACAGGCCCTACTCACCCTAAAGGAACTCAGCAGCAAGAAGGACTCAGACCAGAACTGTAGGGTCCCATTTTTGGTGACAGTCAGGAAATGGCCGATCTTCTTGAATCGATGGATTAAATACTCCACTTTCACAATTTCACAACCATGATTCCTGTGGAAGGTGATAAGAGAGAAAAGAGACCAAACAAAAACAATTCATAGAGGAGAGGGCACTCGCATCCAACAAAGAGCTACAGAGGAGGAAAGACCAAAGCAAGAGAAGCTTCATGTACACACACACGCACAGTTAAGATACTGCAGCTGGCTACAAGAGACATGGGACCTTGCCCCCTTCTCCAGGCAGGTTTCCACTGGATTACCAGCAAAAGAAAGAAAAAAAAACTCTTACTGTCAAGTCAATCCTGACTCATAGCGACCCTATAGGACAGAGTACAACCGCTCCATAGGGTTTCCAAGGAGCAGCTGGTGGATTTGAACTGCAAACCTTTTGGTTAGCAGCTGAACTCTTAACCACTGAGCCACCAGGGCTCCTGGATTATCAGCAATGGCCAAGAAAAAGAGACTCAAGTATGATGCAGGTATGAGGCAGTAAGTTTATCCTGTGAAAGAACAGTCCAGTTTCTTCATGTGTGACGGGACATAGGAGCCAGGCCAGAGACCTTTTGCAAACCTTCTTTTACAGGAAAAGCAGCCCACAGAGGGCAAGTGGAGTGGAACTCGTGACTGATGACTGTGAAATAATACTGTTTCCAGCAACTGCTCTAGTGCTCTGGGGTGGAGAGGGAAGAGAGCCCAAGAGATAAAAGTGGACAAAGGGACAGTGAGAAATTAGGACATGGTGTGCATCTGAGGACAGCACTGAACACTGCAAACAATTCCTGAGGCAAGCCTGGCCTCATAGGATGTCACCCTACAGCCTTCCCCCCACATGCTTCAGTGCGACTTTCCAGTGGCTTCTCTCCTGCCCTGAAGTTGGCTAAGCCACCTCTCTGGCCAGTAAGGGTCAGTGCCATTCTGACTTCCCGACGTGGCATGGCACACACTCCCACTTGATGCGCCCCTATCTCTGGGCCCAGTCAGGGCAGGTAACGTTACCTCACCGTTCAGGCACCCTACGGGATAACCATTTGTCTGGAGTTACGTCCTGGGTTACCAGTAGAACTAGGACTAGACCCCAGACACCTTGACCCCTACTCCAGAGCCTTTTCCACATGTCGCCATGGTCATGACTGACCTGTGGCATAAGGATAAATCACATTACTGTGAAATTCTACTGCCATTAGAATCTCTGCAGGAGAGATGGCAAAACTTGCATCTGGACACGTTCTCTACTGCCCTTTGCCCATAGCTTCATACAAGTCATGGTGAATATTCTCAGTCACTTCTCTAATACTATCACTTCCAATTGTGCCACTCTGCCAGGGCCAAGAGGCCTCGGTTTTCTCACTTGAAAAATAAGCATAATAGTCTTCATTGCCAACTCACAGGCCACTGTGAGGAACAGACACAACAGGTGGGAAAGCTATGAACAGTTAAGGGAAATGTCCTCCCAGTGCAGTCTCAGTGTCCTTGTCTCCCCGATCGGGAGGAGAGCACCTTCGTCTCCCAGCGCTGCTGCGGGGTCAGCGAGATGGTGCGTTTGGTGAGCTTGGCCCAGGCTCAGTAAAGGTGAGCCCACTTTTCTTTTTGAATTTTACTGTGGTAATATATAAAACATCAAATTTAGCATTTCAACCATCTTCAAGTGTACAATTCAGTGACATTAATTATAGTCACCATGTTGGGCAACCGTCACCAGTATCTGTTTCCAAACTTTTTCATCACTCCAAACGGAAACTCAGTACCCCTTCAGCAATAACTCCTCATTCCCCTCTCCCCCCAGCCCCAGGTCACTGCCAAGCTATTTTGGTCTCTATGCATTTGCCTATTCTAGATATTTCATATAAATAGGATCATACAATATTTTTCCTTTCGTGACTGACTTATTTCACTCAGCATAATGTTTTCAAGTTTCATCCATGTTGTATCATATATCAGGACTTTGTTTCTCTTTACGGTTGAGTAAAATTCCATTGCATATAGATATCACATTTTGTTTATCCATTCATCTGTTGATGGACACTTTTGTTTCTACTTTTTTACTATTGTGAATAATGCTGCAATGAACATTGGTGTACAAGTATCTGTTTGAGTCTCTGCTTTCAATTCTTTTGGGTATACGGTATATACCTAACAGTGAAATTGCTGGGTGTCACCTGAAGTCAATATTTAAAAGTTACTCTTTCATGGATTTTCATTAAACCTCTTCTCTATTAAACCCCAGGCTGCTTGAGGACAGGGACTACCTTCCAGCTCTTTGTCTTCCCTGTTCTGCTGCTCTGGGTGTGGTCCTCTGAGAACAGATACACCCACAGCCTCCTCCTAACCAATGCCACAAATGTAGACCACCAAACATTGTACCACAGGACCCAGCTCCCTGGCCCCGGCCACCTGTACCTGGCAGGAGTTGGTGCTCCACTAAAGGTGGGCTCCAAGAAAGACGAGCTCTGACTGCAGGGGGTCTGCTCTGGGACAGCAGCTCAGACCCACTGGAGTGCTCCTCTTTCCCTGGGAGTTTGGAGGGGGGAACACACAGAGAAAGAGGCCAAGGCCCAGTGGGCACAGTGGGCAGTAGGAGCCGCTCGAAAGAGCAAGCAGGTAGGCAGAAGTCAGGGCAGAGACAGAGACACGGAGTGTCTGTAGGAGGGGTAGCAATGCTAAGGCCTCAAGGCCTGGATAGGCTCAAGGCACAATTTCCTACAATGGCTTACTCCCTGCCACCTCACAGGAAAGCCCCATCCCAGAGGTACACAACCATCTGTGCCCCTGAAACTGCCAAACCCACCATCACACAGTGGTTAACAGACAGGTTGCCAGACGAGGCAGGAGAGCAATGTAGTACACTGGGGGAACAGGGGTTGGGATGGTCAAACAGACCAATGCCACCACTTTCCAGCTGGGTGGCCTGGGAAAGTAATTTGACCCCTCTGAGCTTCAGTTTCCTCATCTGTAAAAGGGGGACAAATCATCTACCTTAATCCTCATGAACACGTGCAGGGTTGTGAGGATGAAAGGAGCTAAGGTATATCAAGCATCAGGCCCAGTGCCAGAGGCTGGGAGACACCAACGAAGAGTGGCTCGTGGATTTTAGGAAGGCAGCAAGCACTGCAGGGCTGACACCAGCAGTTGTTCAGACACACCCCCTTCAGGTCCAGGGAAGAGGCTCCTTACTGGGGGATGATCCGCATAGGAAGGTGGAAGCGCAGGCGGTACTGGCTCCTCCTCATCGCCTCCTTTCCCCGGAACTCGTGCACCAAGTAATCCACATACTTCTGCTGCCTCAGAAGAAAAGGTGAGGGGGGAAGGATGCTGGCAAAATGGCTTCAGCATGAGGCTTTGGGAACCCAAGCCTGGTTTCTGGTGTCCTCCCCCATCTCTCTCCAGCTCTTTCCAAGGGACTCTGGGAGCTGTTTCCTAAGCACTGGCCAAAGAAGCCTCCATGTGACAGACCTCTTCCTGAACCTTACCACGTGAAGGGCCCATTTACGAGCACTTGTGAAAATAGCATAGCAGCATCTCTCTCCTTACCCTGTTTCTGTAATACCAGAGACATCTTCAGATCCCTTCCACATCCAGCATCTTATTTGAATCTCTTTATTCACCCCACTTTATAGATAATAAGACTGAGGCCCAATAAGTATATATGAGTTGCCCAAGCTCACAGATCAAGTTAACAGCAGGGGAGGACCCATAACCCGGGTCACTGGGCAACTCTAGACTCCACTAACTAGTCTCATGAAAATATAGTCGAGGCCAAAACATACTACCATAGGAAGCTATAACAAGAAACAGGGCATTTGATTAAAAAGAACCATGGTGTAGATAGCAGAGAATGCTGGAAGCATACTTGTTACAGAATTTAAAAAGAAGTTAAAACAAAGAAAACGGATGGCATACACTACAGCAGTAAATGCATGGGCTCTTGATTTGTTCCTGGGGCAAGTTTCTTTAACTTCTCTATGCCTCAGTTTCTCAATCTATCAAATGGCAGTAAGTAATAGCACCTACACCATAGGATACCCGTGAGGTTTAAGTAAAACCATATTTGAAGTGCGTAGCACAATGCCTGGCATAAATGCTAGTTATTGTTGCCGTCATTACTACATCGATATGCCAGACCATTTTTTGTACTTTCCTGTATGTTTAAATGCTATCTGCTCCTTTTAGAACACTTAGGATCAGAAACAAACAAAAGCATTATTATTACTATGCTGTAATAACTATTAACTATTTATTAGTCATTATAATAACTAATTACTGTGCCAACGTTTTTGGCTTTAACAGTCACCTAACCCAAAAAACCAGTTGCCATTGATTTGATTCCATCTCATGGCGACCCCACGTGTCAGAGTAGAACTGTGCTCCATAGGGTTTTCAACAGCTGATTTTTCAGAAGTAGATCGCCAGACCTTTCTCCTGAATCATCTCTGGATGGACTCAAACCTCCAGCCTTTTGGTTAGCAGCCAAGCACATTAACCGTTTGCACCATCCAGGGACTCCTTAACAGTCACAGGTTTGCCTATTTCTGAATGATCTCAAGGGGCCATGAGATGGTCACTGATATTTCTGTCGAGGCACCAACTCAAGCCCCACAAGTAGACAGGAGACTGGTGTGCAGGAGAGAGTCGCGTGGCAGGTGAGGAGGGCCCTTGCTGCTCCCTGCTGCACACTCAGTAGGTCCTACACAGGGCTCACTGGCACTTGTCATACACTTCCCTGCATCCCAGGAGAGAAGTGAGCTGTGATGAGTCCAGTACCTCAGGGGGAACCCAAGGACACCAAGGGTTCCCTCCACCCAACAAGTGCCATGGCTTGTGCCAGAATCCACAGGGAGGCTCTCTGATGTGGTAACGGTCCCCCATCTTCAACCCTCTGTTTGCTCAACCAATCTGCCAAGGACTGCACCCCACCAGCCTCCCTCCAGCTGCCGGAGGCAGCAGGGGCACTCTCCTCACCCAGGTGACGAAGCCACTACAGTCCGAGTCCACCTTCAAAAAAATCGCCTCTAGCACCTCATCTGACACATTGCTCAGAACCGTCTTCATGGCCTTAAGGAAAGCCTTCATGTTCAGGGCTTTGAAAGAGAGGAGAGAGAACACTGTCCACGTGCTTATGAGCCACTCGCCCCCATCACTGGCCACGGTGTTCTTGGGTGCCTGGATGCTGAGGAGGGCACGCAGAGGATCATGTTTACCTGGTGTCCTCAGCTAGAGGCAGTCTCTTTGCAGCCTCCCCCACAACCGTGAGCTGGGATCACTACAGGGGAGACATAGGAGATGGGCTCCATCCAGAGACGAGGCAGCCTCAGAAAGTACCTTCTCACCAACCCCTCAGATGCAGTCACTCGGTTGGCCCTGTCTACCCTCCCTCCTGTCTCCGACATCCACCACTCACCCTAACCTAGGCCCAATTTCTGAAGCTACCATCATTACTAGATTGTCTTCTGCATCTTGTCGGTTCAACGTTCAATCATCCCACAAGTTCTGGCTGAATACCTATCACATGGGGGCACTATGCTGGGCCCCTGCAGCAGTGGTGGATGGGCAGAGGGGGCTACCAACAAGAGTTCAGATCCCATTTCTGAACAAATAAGACAGACCAGGCATTGAAACAAAGAAAGCAACTGATGAAAGATCTCCAAAGAAAAGAAGAAAAGCAAAAGTAAATAATGGCAGCAAAGAAACAATAATTTCAAACATACAGAAGGAGAGGCTAAGGGCATCTTTTAAAGGCAATTATCAAAATGCAAACTTTGGCTGGAGGGAAAGACGGCAAGGAGAGAGGAGGAGACAGCAAGGATGAAATATTCTCCCCCATGCTGGGTGTCGTGGCTGTAAGGGAATCTGCCTACAAACGGATCAATAATCCCCACCTATATTTGTTTTCATAAGTACCATTTTTTTTTTTTTCAGTGCTCCTAAAAACCCCTACAAACAGTTTGGAACCTTCACAGTGGCCCTGAAGACCAAGCGTTATCTGGCTCCTCTCAGATTTCACCTCCCACTACCGTCCCTTCATTCTCTGCTCCAATCACCAAGGTCTCCTCAACGTTTCTCAAACCACCAAGTGTTCTCCTGCTTTTGCTCCATCTGGTCCCTGTCCCTCCCTCCACAGGGAAGCCTTCCCAGGAACTGCCTAAAGAAGCCACCCTGCCCACTATCCGTCTTCACTGTTCTTCCTGACATTCCTCATTATCTGACACACCTGATTTAGCTGCCTGTCTGCTGCCTCCCACCTTAGACTGTGAGCTCTAGGAGTACAGTATGAACGACTGTGTTTCATCCATTGCTGGGTCTCCAGCACTCAACAAATGTTGTGTCCCATGAGTGCTTCTATGGGCACTAGGATGTGATGGGGACAACACTGCCTACCAGGCACTGTTCTCTGTGCTTTGCACATATTAAGGCCTAATGAGCAAGGGACTCAGCAGGAAATTGCAGCACAGAAAGAAGCGGCCACTTGCCCAAGGTCACACAGCTAGTAAGTGGTGGCACCGCATGCTGACCCAAGCAATCCGACTCCAGAGTTCATGCTCTTAACCCTGCTCTACGCTCAGCGGAAAACACTCAGCACAGAGCTGCAGGAGTCATTATTATTATGTATTGCTAGTTTAAGGAACAAATCAAAGCCTGAACAAAGCATGCCTTGCTTGAGAAAAGATCCATCTGAAGCTATAGCCAAAGGGCTTGTGAGTTTTGAGTGGCACTTTATGGTCCTTCTGTGTTATAAGACGGGCCAGAAGCAGGGGTGGACTAACCAATAGCAAGGTACACATGGGCTTATTTGTGTTTACTTACTAATCTGTAGTGCACCACTTCACATATGGCACACTATTTGAAAGATGTGGTGAAAAAGAGGTGAAATGGTGCACTACAGATTAGTAAGAAAGCACAAGTAAGCCCGTGCGTACCTTGCTTATTGGGTAATACGGCCCTGGCCAAATGCCTTAGCAAAGGAGTCAGATGACAGTCCACTAGCACTGGGCTTCCCCTCGGGAGAACACTGGGAGCAAAACTGCCTTGGTGCAGTGATTAATGAACAAACTCTTCTTGAATGCAGTGTACAAACAGAGTCTTCTCACAGGTGTTTAAGAAACTGTATATATTGTTCACTGCTGTACTAATATACTTCTTATAAATATTTTGCTAAAATGTTTTTTTGGAATAACAAGAAAATAGACACAAAGGTATTTTGGAAAGGAAATGTACTTTGTGGAGGCTAGCTAATTCCCCTGCTCATCAACTCTTCAAGGAAGAGTTCATTCATCTCAAGCCGAATGACTTATCAACAGCTCTCAAAACACTGGGAAGGGAGTTTTTGACTTGGAACAGGCAGGAGAGAACTTTCTGGAGGGCTGGAAACAAATTAGGATGTGTGGGTGAGTCAGTGAGAGTAGCTAGTGTATGAGAAGAAGCTGGGAGAATGGCTAGGAATGGAGGAGGGGTTAGCACTACAGGAGCAAGTGAATCCTGTGAAGGAGGAATTCTGCCAACAACCTAAGTGAGCCTGGACAATCTCAGAGGATACCACAGCCATGGCTGACACCTTGATTGCAGCCTTATGAGATCCTGTGAGAGGCCCAGATAGAGCCATGCCTGGACTCCTGAACCCTGGAAACTGTGAGATGATAAACGTGTTGTTTTAAGCCACTAAGTTTGTGGAAATATTGTCACACAGCAACAGGTAATAAACCATACGTAGGAATTTTTTTGGAAGAAAACTTTCCAAAATACTAACAGTGGTTACATTTGGGTGTTTTATTTTTCTAGATCTCAAATGGCCTCCAATATAGTTACAATAGTTATATAATGATTTAAAAAAAAAAAAAATTTAAAGGAGACACTTTGCTTGTCAAGTCTGAATTCTGCACACACCCCATATGCGTTTCTTCCCTGTGCAGAAGGCACAGAGACTCACTCTACAGCATACCTTTACCTCCAGTTGCATCAGCGTCCTCAAATATTTTCTCCATCTCAGACAGCTGTAACTCAGCAAAGAGCTCAAACCCATGTTGGAAGTCGGTTATCTGGGCAGGGGTGGTGGATGGTGTCGGGGAGCTAAGGACGTTCTTGCTCTTCTGGGATCCATCTTGGGTGTATGACTAGAGCAAAGATGACAAGAACTAGGGACTGAGAGAGTTAATTTCCTGAGCTGAACAATTTTAAACACTTCTTATTTAAAGACAGGCTCTTTAGAGAAGGACAGGGTATGTAGTCTTATGGTGTTATTAACTGATGCAAACATATAGCCCATAACCACTTTGAGATCTAAGAGCATCAAGAAAAATCTAGATTGCTTCTCCTGACTTTGGGAATAGTTCACTCTCCTCACCCTGACCCCACCCAAAGAGCACACAGGCTCATCCTGCTGTGAACCTTCATTCATTCACTGTCTACCCACATTTACTTGAATGCCAGGCACTACAGATACAACAGTCAACAAAGTAGAGAGTCTGTGCCTTCATGGAGCCCAACAGATGATCTAGTTAATGCTTCACCATCTACCCAGGCCCCCAAATTAGAAATCTCAGCAATATCTTTGGCTTTTCCTTCTCCCTCCTTTCCATGAACAAGCCACTTCCCTATACTGTGATGGTTTTCTTACCTTTTGAGGCTGAGAGCTCTCTTTTAACAAGTTCTCAAAAGACACTAGTGTTGACCTAGAAGAAGGAATCGCAGTCATTTTAACTCTAATTGTTGTAAGAACCATATAGGAGGCTGACCTAGCCAACTCATAGATAGGTGGAAAAGAAGTCAGGGTCAAGGAAGGGGTTGCAGCCCCTTGCCCACAGGCACTCTGAGCATGCATTTAATGAGCATCCCTTGTCCCATAGAGGCTTCTCCAGCAAGGAGCTTTTCCCAAGTTTACACCTAACCCTTCCCCTGATGGAAAGTTGTTGTCCTACTGAAGCCCTGGGACTTCTCAAGTTACTTTTTTCTTGGCTCAATGCCAGAGGCTTCCTAAAGGGAGTCACACTTTTACTGAATTAGAAGGGGCTTAGGAGGCCATGCAATACAATTCCCTGATGAGGAAAACGAGGGCCAGGGCAAGCACATGCCAAAGGGTCAAAGACATGCACCAGAGGTGGGGGCACCCCTCCCTGTCCTCCAATGCCTTTGGAGACAGGATTTCTTCCAGAGAGCTGAGACAATTCTCCCAGTAGTGTCAGGATCAGGTGAGAGCGTGTGGGAGAGGGATGTTCCACTGGGCTCTGCTCTGAGACTAGAAAGAGCATGTTTCTACTGGGTCAGTAGCACCACCATGAGATGGAACACAGTACATTGTCAGGATTACTGGAGCACTAATCCACCTCAACAGCAAGTCCTACCAGGCAAGAGTTGTAACAGCACTCTAGGATGGCAGGGGAACAGCAGAGAAATAGTAAAGTCCAAGACATGCTCAGGGGACTGACCAAATGAACCAGCTTGGCTTGACCAAAGGTGGGGGGAATAGTTGCAGAAAACTTTGAAAAGAAAAACTCGAAACAGAATGTAGAATCTTAAATATCTGGCCAGGGAGTCTGAGCAAGATGAAAGGTAATTACAAAAATTCATCTGCATAAAAGACAGAAGAGCAAGAGTGAAGACTGGCCAAGGCAACCTAACAGTGTCTTGGCAACAGCTCAGATGTAAGAATCAAAGGAGAGAGAAGAGCCAAAGGTAAGGAGATTTGGAAGCCAAGAGCCAGGGTAACTGAGGGAAATGCCAGGACTTGTACCAGAAACAGGAATAAGGTGGGAAGTGTTGTAATGTATGTGACACTGGGCTATCCAATTAGAAATAAAGAATATACCTGGAAATGTAGGGACAGAAACTTAAGGAGTGGCTATACTGAGGGGATACAAAGGGGGGGAGAAACACACAAGAGACAGGATGGGTCAGACAGGTAGGGGGATAGGATGTTTCAGGATGAACCAAGATAAGGGAAAAGAAAAGACCACTGAATATGGCAATTAAGAGATCACCGGTGATTGACTGATAACAGTAACTCGAAAGGTTAGATGGCAAGCAAGTTTATATCAATAAAGCGGGGCTCACCAAACCAAACTGAAATGAAGGGTGATAATGGTTGTACAATTTGAAGAATGTAATCAATGTCACTATATTATACATGTAAAATCTATTGAATTGGTATATGTTTTAATGTATATATTTTCAACAATTTTTAAAAAGAGATCTGGTGAAAAACAGCTGAAGTATATTTGTAATATAATTCATGTATATGTTGGCAGAGGTAAAGAATTCAGTGCCAGAATTTGGCAATGTGGGAAGCAGCAGCCTCTAGCTTCTACCTACCCCCTGATCCCCTCTCTGTCCTGTGTATTAATGTCCCAGCAAACACATCCAAGCTGCACCTCCATCCCTCACGTCCACTGCTCCTTGGCCACCTCAGGTCTAGGCAGGACTGCCCTCAAAAATGATAGAATGGAATGGGGAACATGACCACAAAGACCCTGGAACTAGGTTCAAGGTGATTTTGGCAAGGAATATGAGGGTCCTGAGTACTCAGAGCACAGGGGGAGGAAGGCAGTTGGCTGTGTGGCCATGTCTCCTTAGACCCTTGGGCTCCTCATCCCTTGGAGAGGGACACAGCTAGAGGAGGGACAAAATGGGACCCTCGAAAGCTCAGGGCCCACAAGTCAAGGTCCTTCTTGCCTGGATCTAAGGAAGGTACTGTCAGTATATACAAAATTATAAGTACAGTGAAAAATACGGAAGGATATACACTGGGGTTTTGATATGGGTTGTGGGGAGTTGAGGGCTAAACAATCTTAAGGCTGAGGAGTCCAATCTTTCAGAAGACATTAGCCCCAAACCCTCACTCACTCTGACTCAAGTTGATCTTCCCAGCTAATCTTGCTGGTTACATTTTTCAGAGGTTTATTGGTTTTCGACACCAATCTCGACTGAGGCATCTTGGCAGCTGTCCCAAGTACAAGGCAGCTTGTCTGTGAGGTAGATGTGGAACTCTGAGGGTTTCTGCCTGAATGCAGAATCAACTGGCCACATTCAGAACTAGGGAAATGAGACAGAATTCCATATGCAGAACACAAATGGAACATCAGAATCCACCCCACAAACCATAATCACAGGCATTTTCATCAAATTTAAAACATTCTTTTTATTGATGAAGTTGAATTTACAGCAGTGACGGGAGCTACAGCACAAATAGCCAAGACAAGTATGAGAACAAATGATCCATAGGACAAGTACAGGCACAGACAGCCTACCACCCATGAAAAACCTAGAAAATGTCAAGAGCCTTATGATAAAAGCAGGGGTCACCAAACCAAAAGGCCAACTGGTTCTCACAGTTGAGACAGTGCAAGGCACAGCAGCTCTCCAATACTTCCTCTGTGTGAGCTCCAATTCTCCGAGATGAGGAAGGCTGTAAGAGCACTGTGTATAAGATGGTGTTTTATAAATCCAGACTTCAGAACAGATTCAGCATCGTTCAATCTTCGCTCCATGGCAAAATATGGCAGGATGAGTTGGTGAAAGGTGAAATCTCTTGGGGAGACTTCAACAAGCCATACAAGACTCCAAATTTAAAGAGATACCCAGCTAAATCACATTTAATGATGAACGAGATGTTACCAAAATGTTAACTGATCACCAAACAAGACACTCTTCTGGGACTTAGACCACAAAGAGAACACCACTACAACACACAGGAAGAAACTTTAGTTCCTATTTCATTAATAACGGAGACATGGGATTTTGTCATACTGTAGAACATAACAAGTGGTTAAATAAAATGTCAAGGGGCAGAACGTCTTTTAAATCAGATACTAGAGGATTTAAGAAAAAAATCCAGCCTGATGGCCCTAAATCTGACCTGTTTCTCACTTTTTTTGGTTCAGTACTTTCATTTTCCAATCCAATGTTAAACCATTTCTACTTAAAGCAGGTCCTGCATTTTTCCAATGACAACACATTTACTAATCGAAGTGTATATTTTTCACTATAAGCTATCTTCACTGATTAATAACTTTATCAACATGCTAAATTCTATCACAGTAAAAATATTTTTTCCCTCCCTAGGAAGAAACAGAAGATAAAGGGGAAAATATTAAGATGTAGTCTCCTTTTTTAGTTAAGGAAAAGTTGAGAAAATTCCCATTCAAAAAGACTGAAAATATGACCATTAATAGCTCATGTTAAAAAAAAAAAAGACCTGGGAGGGAGAGTATTAAGAAGAAAAATCTCCTAGATAAACCTCTCCACAAAGATAATTGTGGATAAAAGTTAAAGTCCTACTTCGGACTCATTCAGGCATCACTTCCAATCCTAAGGAAATTCTAATCCCTAATAAGAGAGGATGTTGCCAGGTGGGAGCAACTGCTGTAGGTAAGACACCTCCTCATACCTCCACTTAGAAGCAGTGCTGACAAATATCCTTTTAAGATTTAACACTGGCTTTTAAGATGTCAAAACTTGTATTTTTCTCAGCTCTATATAAACTGTCAAAAATTAAGACGCAATTTGATAGTCAAGAAGAGTTTTTTTCATTTCAAATAAGATGGTAGTCACTGACTCTAGAACTGAATAGGACCCTGGAGATTAGTATCTAAGGTCATACCTTTGGCTGGCAGTAGGCTGAAGTCTGAGGAGCCCCGGTGGTGCTCAACATTCAAGCACTTGGCTGCTAACCAAAAGGTTGGCAGTTCAAACCCACCCAGCAGCTCTGCAGGAGTAAGACTAGGTGATCTGCTCCCATAAAGATTACAGCCTAGAAAACCATAGGGGCAGTTCTACTGTTATGTGGAATCGCTATGAGTTGAAAATCAACTCCATGGCACCTAATGACAAAAAGTTGAGGTTAACAACCCAGCTCACATGACATATAGAACACCACTCTTCCTATCACACCACACTGCCAAACAGAACTCTAGGTTCAAACACCGAAGATTTCAAAACCCATGATTCAAGAAAAAGGAGATTCTCAGTGTGGTTAGGCAGCTACTCATCTGTCTTCTCAGAAAAAAAAAAACAAAACTATAAGGGAGAAATGATACTAAGTCAGAGAGTTCAAAATTCTTAGGAAATTCTTAAAAATATTTTATTTCATTCTACACTGAATCTTACAATTATTACTTCCTCTCTCAGCCAGGGAAAGGGGTTCACACACAGAAGCAAGCTAGGCTACCCTGTAAAAAACACTAATAGCTTATTCCATGCTCCCAAGCAGGATTTAAAATTTCAAAGTAAAAACAGCAGCCATTTATAATTATATATGTTTAACTCTCACATTATTTTGTAGAAAAACATATAAAATGAAAAAAAAGCAGTATCAAGTTTAAAAAATTAAGTAAAATGCTAAAATCCAGATGACCTTGAGGTTACAACAGATCTTAAAATTACTAGAACTACTTTAAAATATATAAATAGGCCCCATTATGAGACATATACATATATATGAACATGATGAAACAACTGAGAGCCAAGACAGAGAAGAAATCTGAAGGTCATTCAAGCTTAGGTAAGGATAAACCATGACTGAGAGTGGGTAAAACTTGAACACATAGATTCCTGCACTAAATGAGAATTCAGGGATGGTGTATTAGCAAAACTCTCCCTGTAGCTTACGGCCTGTGGAAAAAAAGTCAAACTCATGTGCCGAACCATTTGTCATTTTTGTCAAAGCCCCTTTTAGAGCCAAAACCAAAAGTACTTTTATTAAAGCACAAAAGTTCTGTACAGTTTACAGGATTCCCAAATGATTTCATTGTTAGTGAGCCTTTCTTCAATTTCCCACATGCAAGATACATGCAGCTGATGCTGAGAAACATTGTGCTTTACTTTGAACAGAGACTGCCAGTCAACTGACGAAAACCAACCTCCAGAGGCAACATCTTTTAGAATTTTGCACTCCCCTGCTCTTTCCCATTCTACTATCCTATTGTCTTTTACAGACCTAAGTAAATTTTTCTGAAGCAGAAGAGGTCTTGGGGAAACCATCCATACCCATCTCCTCACTGGGATGCAAGCCTGGAGGATCCCGGTCTCAACAACCAGTTCATGGTGTTCCCACAATAGCGCATCTCGCTCCTTGATTTCTGTAAAGGTCAGAGAGAGGTACTGTAGCCACATGCCCCCTTCATATGTTAAGTCTACCCACTCATATGCTTGACCTTAGACTTTAATAGTCTACACTGTATTTTGTGAATCATCCATCAAGGCTGTATCCTAGAAACTCAGCTCTGCCCCTACTGGAGACCAACAGGAGCCATAAAGCCAGCTTTGCTGAGACTTACTTTTATGGACTGATCTCACCCGCCAAAACCTTTCCGAATCTCATTCTATTGTCCACACTGAAAGTTAAACTAAAAGACATCAGTACCTGTGCCCAGCCTCCTATCCTCACCAACAGTTCCACAAACTGCAAAAAAAAAAAGAAAGTAAACCAGGAAAAAGGGAGAAATAAATTAAAGTATATAAAGTGATACATCTTACCAACTTCCAAACTGCTGATAAATCATTTTGCGATTCTAAATCTCTCTCTTGATGGTGTTTATATTAAAGTCCTTTCATGGGTACCCTGGTTTGCTTTCAAATGGTCACAGCAAAAAGAATTGCCTCTCTCTACACTCCCCATACTCAGGAACATGTCTATGAAAACTATTTCCATTTTACATTTCAGAATCTCAATCTCTCTGATAAAAAGAAAATGTTATTTAAACTTTAATTAAAATATATATATACACACATACATATATATATATATAAAATAAATCAAAATTTAAGGTTCTGATTGAGGGGCCCAGAAATTTGACTCTGAGGCTAGACCTGCTCACCCAGATAACTAAATTAATGAAGCTACCTGAATACAATCTCCTTCAACAGAGATCTTCTATACTCTTAGGGATTAAGGTAACATTACTTTCCAATTCAGATTAAGCCAAAAGGGAAACAAACCTTCACAAATTGTAGCTGCAGCCACGTTCAGTGTAAAAGTACAGAACCCCTCCTTGGGCTTCTTTTAGTGAGGGACTGTACACACAGTTTTACTCTCGCATGTGAAAACTAAGAGAAAGAAACATTGTGAAGATACAGAAATATGAATTTGCCTCATTTTAAAGTTTTACAAATCCAATTGTGAATTCAAAAGTATGGCATATTCCTAATTTCAAATCAATAACAGTTCCAGACCAGCAAAATGACTGGTCGGTCATTCACGAACACGGATCACAGGCTCAGGTTCAGCCTGGTTCAAAGCAATTACTTCCACTCTGTTGACAACGGTCACAGATTTGGGTCACCCCACATACTAGTAAGTTAATCTGATTAGGCTGATTAGGCTTAAAGCTTTAGTTTTGTTTGTGGACTAAGCTATGAACTATGGCAAACATCACAAATGGCACTCTTTGTACTAAAAACAAGAAAATTCTTAAAGAAAACCTTCTCTAGAGTCATCTTGGCTACAGGAAGAAAAAAAAACTGCTTCCTTTTCAACACCATATTACATTCAAGAGAGTAAACTTTCAAGAAAATACAAGTTTTTTAAATCAATGAATCTGAATCACTGAGTCACTGAATCACTGAGTCTTCATTTAAAAAAAAGAATGTGTGTTTAGAACTCAATTTCACTTGGGAAAAGCAGGACGAAAATCGATTTACAGTCTGAAGATAGAAAGAAGCTGGACTTATCAATACCAAGCTGAAGGGGAAGAAAAAAATCTAGAACAGCTTGCTATTCATTTTACAAAATACCCAAAGCCTATCCTCAGGAGTGCCCTCCCTGCTTCCTCAGGATACAAAAACCCTGTCCTAAGCTTTTCCTAATCCGTAAACAATTTCTGACGACCTGAAGAACCCACGCCGTAAATAATCCTCCCATCTGTCCAGTGCTTTCTAACATTGTGGATGCTTTTTTGGTCTGTCAGCTCCTTGTGATCCCAGCAAGCACCCAGTGAGGAACTTCAGCCAACATCATCCCTGTTTTGCTAGTAAGAACGAGAAAGGTCAAGCAGCTCCAAAATCACACACAGCTAGGAGGCGCCTGCAAGGACTCAAATCCAATGCTCCCCTCACCAGTATTAAGACCTGAAGCTGCAGGTATCTGGTAAAGCCTAACTAAGGCAGTATTTCTCACAAGTATAAGGTTGAAGACATCAGGCCCAGGTCACCTGATGTACGTAATAAAATGCAGATTTTCAGTCTCCTGACTCAGAATTTCTGGGGATGGACTTCCCATTTGCTTACTTTTCTTCCCTGCAACACAGAATTTGCCAAGCAAACTCAGCAGCTTATCCAAGTCTACTGCGCCGATGACCGAACCTGAAGTAGTCACATCAAGAGATTTTCTGTACCTCAGCCTGAAGCACTAGGTCAAAGGTACACACAGGATCAGCTTCACTCCTTACCAAGGTTAACTTCTCAGTTGACATCACCCAAAAGTATCTTCACAAACTCTATGCCTTCCTGGAGGTATCTTTTTGTAGATTACCAACACATAAGGTGACAAATTCCTTATGAAACTGTATTAACATTTCAAGGAAGATATCATACCATTAACTTCTAGAGGAAGTAATGTTGGTGTAACTTCAGTCAAAATCATCAAGTCAGGTTTACAGAGCATCCACAGTTGTGGTAGGTCCTCTAAAGACCTCACAAAACAACTACCTTCTGCCCATTTAATTTTATTTAATACTGGAAATGGCAGCAACTCTCCTTTTGAACTCTTGAACTCATTTTAAAGGCACAGAGTTACAAAAAGGAGGAAAAAAACCTAGAGTTACAATCTTAAGATTATTTTCTAGACTAAGACTGTGTTCATTTCCTTTGAAACATACTACAGGAAAAACAAAAGAAAATCTCCCCATGGTCATCTGCCAAGCACTGTCCTGCTGCATTTCTCAGGAGGAAATAGAACTGATGAGGCTTCAGGGCAGCTGGGCCAAGCCTTGCACTTCTGCGAGGTAAAACCTTTCACAGTAATATCAAAAATTAAAACGCTGAGAGGCTGAGAAATCTAATGTGAGGAATAAACAAAACAGGAAGCACACTCACAAATAAACACATTCGAAATAACAGTGAAGGAACTGAAAAGCTCAGCCCAAATTTACGAAAGCACTGGTACCATATCACTTAACCTAAAAGCATATACCCACGGCGTATACCACATTTTGTTGTACACAGGGTCGCCATGAGTCAGAACCGACTTGATGGCACCTAACAACAACAACATGGCAAGACAAATTTCAGAAGACATGACACTCTTGAAATACAGAACTTTATTTAGAAACTGTTTAAAGTAGAAAAAAACCCTGTCAAGAAAGACCAGGTGGAAAATGGGTTCCCAATAAACTGGAATTTTAGCGCAACAAAAGTCTAAAAGGCCACAAAAGAGAAATAGCACCACTGTCATTTAAACAATGGCTAATTACTTGCATTTTTTTTTGTTTTTTTGGCATTGTTAATCACTGAATTTCTGTTTTCCTCTGAATTCCACACAGAGCATGCACTACACAACAATTTTATCATAAAATACCTGTTTTCTACACACATTTTAGGACAAGCTACCACCAGAAACAAATCAATACAAACACATTAGGGGCTGAACAATCTCAGTAGTGGGTGACACACATTTTGCAGAATTCTGTCAAACAAAGGGACTGAATAGGCTATGGGCAGAGCAAATGAGGGAGAGTTAAGGAATGAAATATTTTAAATATTAATAATTAAATCAGACATGGTACTGTATTTTCTGCAAAAGAAAATTAACATTTAGTAACACGCTACGAATTTATCTCCGAAGAGATTAGTGCACTGGCAAAGTATTCCGATAACAGTGGAGAGCTGTGGACAGCAGGTACCGAAAACACCCAAGCCTTGCAGGTCCCAAGGTAGTGA